CAATCGACATGAACGCCTTGGATCAATCCGTCGAGATTTCGACAGTTGTAAAGTACAATGGAACGATCGTGGCGAACGCAAGTTGTACTGAAATTAAGAGCATTATGAATGGAACTATAGTGCGTATGTACGCTACTAATCCTGACGCCAGAGACAGAGCAGCCAGTGTTCAGAGCTCTTTTCTTGCCTCTATTTTATCAAGCTTTATTTATTTCATGTTCCAGTTTTACTAAGGAATTTCTTTTATTAAATCAAGGCTTAAATTTTGGCTAGAACGTTTATTCCTTGCTGGTGATGACTTCCAGTGTACGTCATGTTGTCACAGCCATCGCTTCAATGCAATTTCTATCTTCGATTCCATCGACAAAAACATTCTGTTTTCCTTCATTTGCACGAGTGCACATTTGTTTTCTTTGAATATTGAATATTTGCTGAATCAAAGTGCTCTTAAACGTCTAATAAATACCCATATTAAGGGAAAACTGGAACGATGTAAATCAAACATGCTGTAAATGACATCTTAAATTTAAAAAAAATAATGCTTACCGATTTATGATTATGATAATAAGATTCCGAGTGCTGCTCACCATATACCACGTACAGGATTATTATATTATGACAGGTGTAAACACTTTGCCCATAACCTCTTTACATCTATTTTAAAAAACGCTGTCGGTCGGCGGGAGATCTATAATAGGCAATCTGAGACTAAACTGTATTTTTGTATCTCAAAGGCCATGCTTCATATTCCTATCTAAAAGTAAAGTACGTTGTTCGACTGTGAATATATAGAGATTATCACATGTTAAAGTGTATATCAAGGGAAAAAATATATTTATTGTCAAAATCACTTGTATGTGAACAGTGCATATTGGATATCTCAAATGTTTATATCTCAGAAAACAGAAGACCACATACAAAAATACTGCAACCATACTACTACACTGTTAACATACAAGTGATTTTGAAAATATTTTTTCTCCTTGATACACACTTTAAGAGCCTGATATCGTTTTTATTCACGAGTTTTTTGTATCATATCGCGAAAAAGCGAGATACGCATTTAGGGTCGATTTTGATTGGCCAAAACTAAAATATGTGGCGAGATCTTATTGGACAGTTTTACCGTGAAGTGATATCGTATCACTTCTTTGATCTGTCTTTTTTTACGGCTTTATTTCACAGATATCGACCCTAAATGTGCAACAAATTAAATTTTACAGCATGCTACTGGTCTCAGATTTAAGATTTCCAAGAAGCGACAACGTTTTTTGAAATAGGTACGAAATTATTGTAGTATTCGTAGTTCTATGTGAATGACAGCAGTCATTGTCAAAACTGTCATTTTTTCGGTTCAAATTTTAAAATAATCCGGTTTCGGCCGGTAATATCATTTGAAAATCATGTATGCTGCATGAAGAAAACAAATATGCAAAACGAGGAGAGTGTGACACTGTTATCTGCGGAAGGCGAAGGATTAGGAAGATAACATCTTCAAAGCGGTTTGCATCATTTTTCATATCGTTTTATGTATTCAAAATATTTTTAAAGCAATATGGTTTTTTCAAAAGGTATTTTATTCGACTAATTGACTAAAAACTGGAGCATTTATCAAAGAATTTGAACAAATTATTAAAGTTTACCGAAATTATAAATAGTTATAACAAGTAGAGCTCAACCATAAATTACTAAAAATAAATAAATTCAACTTACTGAATATAGTAAGCCGACTTTGCGTTACCTGCTTTCATTTGTTGTATGTATGTGTTTGAGCATTCCGACCGTAAAAATTCTTCATTAAAACGGTGAATTCAGTCAGCGTCGAGCAAATTGCCAAGTCGTTTATCTTTTAGATATTCTTCAAAGAGTATCTTATTTTCTTTGGTAGCATTTTTGCTTCGACTCCTTTTTGTCCAACAGTTGTTGGAATTCGGCTTTAGTCAACCGTTTGCAGGCTTTGTCACGTGGCACAAAGCGACTGTACCAAATGGATGGAAAGATGATCGATAACATCACAGACATAATAAGAAAGAGCACCTCACAATTAGTATTTTGAACGTTTCTGTGATGCAGGGAGGTGGGAGGTAGTGGAAACGAAACATTTTTGTTGAACATTTGAAATCTTACATAGAATAAAAAGCTGTAATAGCTGATATGAAAAAGCCTAAACCACTAATACTTAGGGTGGTAATCCTGTGGTTGGATTTGTCAAGAGGCATCTATTTCGCCGAGTATGTGTATGAAACAATTTTTGGATGAGGTTTTGATGATAACCGAAATCAATGTCAAGGTAAGGGATATTGGCTTCAGCCTACAGCTTCGGCCAATAATTGCCGAGACATTGATAATTCTGGATATCATCAAAACAGAATTCAATAAATGTATTATTATACATTGTTCAAATAGATTAATTGATATTGTGAAAATAGAAATTTTATAATAAACTTTACTTTTTTAAAAAAAGTTTCCAAATAATACATAAAAAACAACCTACAGATAACCGCCATCCGCTGACCTATGCAGGCTCGTTTTTGCCGGACAACGCGCTACAGATAACTATCGTCCGCTGAAAAATCGCTGGCGCACGCTGATAGCTAGAATTAATTATATGGTGGTTCTCGACCAATGAAAATTCATATAGTGAGTACAATGTGTAATATTAACAGTTATTCCACTTACTCTCGTCGTACATGAGCTCGTAGCCAACGAGGCAGTTCATTTCCTCATATAAAAAGCCAAAGTAGTCTATACTGAATAAGAGCTTCGTACTTATTAGTGTCGTGTTAGTATATGCAATAGGACTCCATGCTGTCTAATTAAGAAATAATTGGACGAGGAAAATTCCGAGGACTGACAAAATTGGATGAGGCAGTAGGCCGAGTCCGATTTGGCAGGAAGAGAAATTTTTCGAGTCTAATTATTTCTTGATTGGGGAGCATGAAATCCCATTACCTATTAATTATATAAATGCCTAATTAATCCCACATCAACAAGACCTATCCAATTAAGAAAATAATTGGACAGTTACCTATATGGGATTAATGAGAAGCTGTATAATTACATTTGTAATCAAATGACGTAATACGATCGATAAACGTTTAAATATCGATCTGCTAACATCTTAGTGACTAGGAGTGTGTGACACATTTGTATATTCAGACCCCTCACGATAACTCGTTTCTACTCTTCGCTTGTGACGTGTTAAAAACTGCTGTGGGAAGGAGATAACGTAACGCAGTAGTTGATCTTGCCGCTTACTTCTGTCAGTCATCAACAGCAAGATGAACAGGAAAATCATTCTGAATTTAATCGCTATCTGTGTAGCTTTGGTCCAGTTTGCAGACTCCGCTTATCAAGTCCACAAGAACACTCCTATTCCTGTCTACACTTCCAAGTCCCCGGTCATTATCCCACAAACCAAGCTTGGATTTCGCTCGAATCTCGGTCGAAATGTTTTCTTTGGTTACATGCTCTATCGCTATGGTTTGATGGAAGCTCCTGTTTATCGTGGTAGATACCCTATTCACCGTAGCACGGTAGAGATCCCAGATGAACGAGCTATCAGAGTCAACTTCACCAAGGAGATCATGTTGGATTCTAATGGAACAATCTGTTTGAACTCGACTAAAAGTTACACTATAGCACCTAACAAGAGTGTTGTACTCACTTCGGTTAGGTATTCTAACATTAGGGGAGGATTATCAACGGAATATTTCGGAGACAACAGGACAGTGACAATCGACATGAACACCTTGAATCAAACTGTCGAGATTACGACACGTGTGCTGTACCGTGGAACGATCGTGGCCAACACAAGTTGTACTCAAGTTATGAGCGTCATGAATGGAACTATAGTGCGTATGTACGCAACCAATCCCAACGCGGACACGAGTGCGGCCATAGCCAGTGTTCAAAGCTCTTTTCTCGCCTTAATTTTGTCAAGCCTTATTTACTGTGCTCTCTAGTTGTAGAACGAACATATGGTATATATAGGGCGCCAACAAGAATACTTTTTCCTGTGACTTTGTCTTTTGGGATTTTAACTCGCATAATTAAGAATCCATTTTGCCTAAGATTGATAATTAGAGTGAAGTCCAGTGAAGTCACTAAACCCGTGAAATAGATATTACATATTAGAAGACCCTAATTCCATTGTTTTCGTTTGTGCATATTTGACTATTACACGTTGACTAGTTAAAAATGCCTTGTCACTCTATTAGCTATTTTTTGCACTTAAATTTTGTAATTAAAATCGTTTTTTTTTTAGTGTGATTATGAGCCTGTACTGTTAATTAAAGCTGAGAAGTCTAAAGACGTAAGTAATTAGTATTCTAATTTGTCTTAGTGCAATGTTTGCAGATTTCAGACCACCTGTGTTTCCTTGGAGAATAACAAGCTGTACTATTTTTTCTTTTAAGTTGTATTCAAATTTAAGTATCTTCTAATGCACAAGAAATAATACTCCAGAGACTGACCTGAAGTGTTCATTTAATGGGTTGCAAGCATTTCCAAGAGAGTTAAAAGACTGTTACGTGGTTAAGCATGAAGTATAAGGGGATAAAGAATAAGGGATTAAATAGATAAAATGCACGCTGTTGAGCAAGGAATAAAGAATAAGGGATTAAATAGATATGCACGTGAAAATTGGGATTACATCACCAGCTGTATATAAGAAATGTTAATGTAAAAATAAAGAGGGCAGCAGTTAATACTTGAGGCCTTCGTTGTTGGTTTTGGGCCCGGCGCTAGATTTTTATAGGCAGAGTGACGGACGGTACAAGACAAAACCATGGAGTCTGTGGTGGGGGTGCCGTTATTAAGTTGCTTTGAAATGCTAACTGGCCTATACTAGTAAATTGAGTTATTCATTCTTAAATTCTGCAGTAGTTCTGGAACAAATCATTAAGAAAATGTTGTTTTGTTTTACTTACTTCTTTATTTGTATTACGAATCATTCTGTCTCATTGAAATGCAATTTTTAGAGCGAAAGATAATTCTTTTAACCTCGGTCGTCAGGGACGCGTTAGTTTCTAACTATGACGTATTTCCGGTGAATTGATTACAAAAGACTATATTTTGCTCACGACGTAATGTAATAAGTGTTGTTGAGTATAAACTGCTCGCAATAATCGCTAATCACTAGTAGTGTTCTGGTTTCTCCCGGTTGACATCACAGTAGCAAGATGAATATGAAAATCCTTCTTCTTTTAATTGTCATTTCTGTAGTCTTGGTCCAGTTCGCAGACTCTGCTTACCGTGGAAGAGGTGGAGGTCGAAGTCGAGGTGGTGGTTTCAGACGTTCTTCATCGACCAGAACTTCTAGATCGAGAACCAGACGTTCTTTTAGTCCGCCTGGTTCATCCCGAGTCTACAAGAACACTCCAATTCCTGTCTACACTTCCAAGTCCCCGGTCATTATCCCACAAACCAAGCTCGGATCTCGCTCGAATCTCGGTCGAAATGTTTTCTTTGGTTACATGTTCTATCGCTATGGTTTGATGGGAGCTCCTGTTTATCGTCGTAGATACCCTATTCACCGTAGCACAGTAGAGATCCCAGATGAACGAGCTATTAGAGTCAACTTCACCAAGGAGATCATGTTGGATTCTAATGGAACAATCTGTTTGAATTCAACCAAAAATTACACTATAGCACCGGACAAGAACGAGCGAGTCAGTG